AAGTGATAGTGGTAATGTAAAACTAGAACTAACACTAGACCTAGAAATAGAAACATTCGGGTTTAGCCGCACGTCTCTTAAGACGGCTAAACCCGAATGATTCTAGTTCTAGGTCTTGTTTTAGTTCTAATGATAGTGATAATGTAAAACTAGAACTAATACTAGACCTAGAACTGGAATCATTCGGATTTAGCCGCACGTCTCTCAAGACGGCTAAACCCGAATAATTCTAGTTCTAGATCTTGTGTTAGTTCTAGTGCAAAACTAGAACATGATCCAATCAACATCTTATCTCTTGAACAATCCCCTGTATAGTATAGTACATTACATACAAAAACTTTAAACTGATATTATACAATAAGCAGTATAGAATTAACTCACATCCTGTTCATCGTTTTGAAATGTTTAAATTTGAATAAATAAATCCTGATGTCAAAAGTTGAAATAAATATAAAACAGCTCTTATTTGAATTCAAATTGATCGTGTTGTGTTAATTTTGGTTATTAATTAATTTATATTTAATTTTTATAGGTTCAATTCGTATTGGTGATGGTCCACGCTTTTCAATTACTATTTATTGATTGTGATTATCCAAAGGCGTTTGTCTGGTGGATCGGCCTTCACGCCGTTATGTTCTACTTCCTGTTTTCCGATTTCTACAAAAAGACTTATGTAAAGAAGTCCAAAACAAAAGTTGAAGTCAGTACCTTTATATGCAACTTTAATGATGTGTTAATGATTTTTTGTCGTAATTTTTAGAATAAAGAAGAAATAAAATATTCAAACGAAAGTAGTAAAAATGGAAAAGGAGTTGGAATTTGTTTCCCGATTCAAACTGATTTGTATGAAAATGGTAGTATTAGTAAACATATTAGCAAAAGTTATACGTCAGATAGTAATATTCAATTGAGAAATAGGGCTTTTATAGATAGTGCTCAAGCGTAATTTTTATTTTTTTCTATTTTGGGATTGTTTCTTTTTTTGTAATTTAATGATTTTAACGATTAAGGTTTAATTTAATTTATAAAAGTAAAAAATGGGTTTTTTGTATATTATTTTTGATTTGTTAAATGTTTTTAGCATCACAAAAATAGAAGTAACAAATTAGAAAATAGGAGAAAACCAGTTTTTTTAAGGGAATTTTATGTTTTATTTAAGATTCTTTATCAAAAAAACCTTATCTTAATTTTGAAAAATAAAAAGTGTACAAATAAATAATTAATAAATATTTTTATAAATCAACCAATACAATTCTTTTATTTCTTTCTCCATCAATGATTTTGTAAAAAAGGATTTATTATGTAAAATAAATAAGACCTCAGTCAAGGTTAAACAAATTGACGTCAAATTTAAACATCAAATAAAATTCAAAAGAATACATTAACACCTCTAGTAAGTACATATAGCAATGTACTGAGATTGAAGAATCATTTTCTAACACTGCATATTTTAGTTTGTCTAAATTGATTATTAATCTTTATTTCTTCTATTTTTGAATTTAACAGTCTTTTAATTCAACTTTAACCTCAACATTCGATCCAGAAAAAAAAAATGAAACCATTTGACCTCAATTTACTGTTAAAAACTTTTTTATCACCACATAAAGATAAAATTACTTATTATTTTATAAACAGCAACTTCTCATTTTACTTTTAACCATGCTCAAATTAACGCAGAAAGTTTTTTCGCAAAAAATTAATAATACGAGTAAGAAAAAATTTAATTTTATCAATTAATTTATTCATTAATTTTCTTTATATTCTTGTCTTGTAGGATTTCTTAGTTTATACGACTCCCATTTAGAAATTGACGAAAACCTAAAAATTCATTACATTTGGCTTCGAGATCATTGCAGATGTGAAAAATGTTACAATCAAAAAACGAATCAAATCATGTCGGACGTTTTAAAAATACCTAAAAATATAAAACCTGTGGATTGTGTCAAAATTAATGATAAATTAAAAATTACTTGTAAGTTACCAAATTATTTATCAAATCATTTTTTTTGGATAAAGTATAAAGGCTTTCACTGCAGGTGTTCATTTAACTAAAACTAGAACTAACACTATTATCACTAAAATTAACATTAGACCTAGAATTAAAAACATTCTGTGTTTTGTTGTCTGGGAATGTTTCTAGTTCTAGGTCTGATGCTAGTTCTAGTGATAGTGTAAAATTAGAACTAACACTAGACCTAGAACTAGAATCATTCGGGTTTAGCCGTCTTAAAAGGCGTGCTAGTTCTAGTGCTAGTTTTAGTTCTAATTTTAATTCATTCATTTTTTATGTTGAAATAACATTGTTTTTAGGGAAAGATGGCCATTTAACAGAATTTTCATTAAATTATTTAAGTAATCTTTACAAAACCACAAAAGTACCACAAAATGAAACCTTTTATTGGAACTCAAATCAAATAAAAAACATCAAAGAACTTTACGTAACATCCAAAGAATATTTTAAAAAAGATCAAACCGGTTTAAAACTTGTATTAAAAAACATCTTAAAATATGGAATTGGATTTGTCACCGAGGTATCTAAAATTAATTCAAAACAATTTTCTTAATTACCACAAATTATTTTTAAAGGTAGAACCAAGTATTGAATCAACAGAAAAAGTTGTCCGAAACATGGCTCCGGTTCAACAAACGTTATTTGGTGGAATGTGGGAAGTTAGTAATAATTTAGAACACGCCGATACGGCTTACACAACAATCGAATTAGGGGCCCATAACGATAACACTTATTTTACAGAAGCTTCAGGGTACAAAATGATATTTTTATATTCGTAATTCAATTTCTTCATAAACATTTATTTCAGCCTTCAAGTATTTCATATGTTAAGTCACGATGGGGAAGGTGGAGAAACTCTTTTAGTTGACGGCTTTAATGCTGCAAATAATTTAAAAGAACGCCACCCAAAAGATTACGAAATTTTAACAACTTTTCCCATCGAATCCGAGTACATAGAAAAAAATGTGCATTACACGACCATAGACACGGTATTAAAACAACATCCGGTGACGAAAAAGTTATCACAAATTAGGTAAAAAAAATCAACAAAATTAATTTCCTCATTTTATTTCTTATTTTTCTAGATACAACATTTACGATAGAGCCCCATTAAACACGTTAAATTTTGAGGAAATTCCCATGTTTTATGATGCTTATAAAAGATTGGGGGAAGAGATTAATAAAGAGGAACAGAAATATTGGATAAAGTTGAATCCTGGAACTGTTATTTTTATCGATAATTTCCGGGTTTTACATGGAAGAGCTTCTTATAGTGGATTTAGAAGACTTACAGGGTGTTATGTTGCGAGAAATGAATGGACAAGTACCGCTAAAAATTTAGGATTAAATTTATATTAACTAAATAAACTAAAAATTATTCAATAAAACGATTATTTACTTATGTTATTTGTTTAATTAATAAATAATTAAATAAATAAATTGATATTTGAGAGATAATAGATAGCGCCACTAAATAAATGTCATTGTGGGTTATTCTGGTATGGTTCAGAAGTGTAAAGATAGGTGGCAGCACTTACAAACAATTATAATCAATGATATAATTCCTTTAAAACAAACGGTGCATAATTGTTAATAAAAACCATTTTCTGAAGTTTATCGATGTTTTTTATACACATTCTATATTTTAGATTTTCTATATCAAAGTATTGTAATATACAAAGTATTAATAATTACAGATATCTGTAACGTAAAAAGTAATTAAAATTAGTTTGATTTTTATCAAGAGATTAATAAAGAGGAACAGAAATATTGGTTAAAGTTAAATCCTGGAACTCTTATTTTTATCATATAAATATATTCATGATTTATTTATTTACATAAATAAATTAAGTTTATTTATTAATAAAATAAATTTTTATATGAGTGATAATAGATAGCGCCACTAAATAAATGTCATTGTGGATCTTGTGGATTATTCGGGTATGGTTCGGAAATGTAAAGATAATTCTTTTATAACAAACGATATTTAATTGTTAATAAAAACCACACTGTGAAGTTTATCGATGTTTTTTATTATCATTCTATATTTAAAATTTTTTATATCAAAGCATTGTAATGATTAATAATTACAGATATCTGTAACGTATTATTTATTTAAAAAAGAAAATAAAATTAGTTTAATTTTTATGAAGAGATTAATAAAGAGGAACAGAAATATTGGTTAAAGTTCAATCCTGGAACTGTTATTTTTATCGATAATTTCCGGGTTTTACATGGAAGAGCTTCTTATAGTGGATTTAGAAGACTTACAGGGTGTTATGTTGCGAGAAATGAATGGACAAGTACCGCTAAAAATTTAGGATTAAATTTATATTAACTAAATAAACTAAAAATTATTCAATAAAACGATTATTTACTTATGTTATTTGTTTAATTAATAAATAATTAAATAAATAAATTAATATTTGAGAGATAATAGATAGCGCCACTAAATAAATGTCATTGTGGGTTATTCTGGTATGGTTCAGAAGTGTAAAGATAGGTGGCAGCACTTACAAACAATTATAATCAATGATATAATTCCTTTAAAACAAACGGTGCATAATTGTTAATAAAAACCATTTTCTGAAGTTTATCGATGTTTTTTATACACATTCTATATTTTAGATTTTCTATATCAAAGTATTGTAATATACAAAGTATTAATAATTACAGATATCTGTAACGTAAAAAGTAATTAAAATTAGTTTGATTTTTATCAAGAGATTAATAAAGAGGAACAGAAATATTGGTTAAAGTTAAATCCTGGAACTCTTATTTTTATCATATAAATATATTCATGATTTATTTATTTACATAAATAAATTAAGTTTATTTATTAATAAAATAAATTTTTATATGAGTGATAATAGATAGCGCCACTAAATAAATGTCATTGTGGATCTTGTGGATTATTCGGGTATGGTTCGGAAGTGTAAAGATAATTCTTTTATAACAAACGATATTTAATTGTTAATAAAAACCACTTTCTGAAGTTTATCGATGTTTATTATTACCATTCTATATTTTAAATATTTTATATCAAAGCATTGTAATGATTAATATTTACAGATATCTGTAACGTATTATTTATTTAAAAAAGTAATTAAAATTAGTTTAATTTTTATGAAGACATTAATAAAGAGGAACAGAAATATTGGTTAAAGTTAAATTCTGGAACTGTTATTTTTATCGATAATTTCCGGGTTTTACATGGTAGAGCTTCGTATAGTGGATTTTAGAAGACTTACAGGGTGATATGTCGCGAGAAATGAATGGACAAGTACCGCTAAAAATTTAGGATTAAATTTATATTAATTAAATAAACTAAAAATTATTCAATAAAACGATTATTTACTTATGTTATTTGTTTAATTAATAAATAATTAAATAAATAAATTGATATTTGAGAGATAATAGATAGCGCCACTAAATAAATGTCATTGTGGGTTATTCTGGTATGGTTCAGAAGTGTAAAGATAGGTGGCAGCACTTACAAACAATTATAATCAATGATATAATTCCTTTAAAACAAACGGTGCATAATTGTTAATAAAAACCATTTTCTGAAGTTTATCGATGTTTTTTATACACATTCTATATTTTAGATTTTCTATATCAAAGTATTGTAATATACAAAGTATTAATAATTACAGATATCTGTAACGTAAAAAGTAATTAAAATTAGTTTGATTTTTATCAAGAGATTAATAAAGAGGAACAGAAATATTGGTTAAAGTTAAATCCTGGAACTCTTATTTTTATCATATAAATATATTCATGATTTATTTATTTACATAAATAAATTAAGTTTATTTATTAATAAAATAAATTTTTATATGAGTGATAATAGATAGCGCCACTAAATAAATGTCATTGTGGATCTTGTGGATTATTCGGGTATGGTTCGGAAATGTAAAGATAATTCTTTTATAACAAACGATATTTAATTGTTAATAAAAACCACTCTGTGAAATTTATCGATGTTTTTTATTATCATTCTATATTTAAAATTTTTTATATCAAAGCATTGTAATGATTAATAATTACAGATATCTGTAACGTATTATTTATTTAAAAAAGAAAATAAAATTAGTTTAATTTTTATGAAGAAATTAATAAAGAGGAACAGAAATATTGGTTAAAGTTGAATCCTGGAACTGTTATTTTTATCGATAATTTCCGGGTTTTACATGGAAAAGCTTCTTATAGTGGATTATGAAGACTTACTAAATGAAGGATTAAATTTGTATTAACTAAATAAACTAAAAATTATTCCATAAAAAGATTATTTATTTATGTGAATAAATAAATTAAGTCTATTTATTAAACAAATACATTTTTATCTGAGTGATAATAGATAGCACCACTAAATAAATATTGTGAATTATTTGGGTATCGTTCGAAAGTGTAAAGATAGAAAAACCTTTAAAACAAACGGTGCTTAATTGTTAATAAAAACCACTCTCTCAAGTTTATAGATGTTTTTTATTATCATTCTATATTTTAGATTTTTTATATCAAAATATTGCAATGATTAATAATTACAGATATCTGTAACGTATTATTTATTTAAAAAGGTAATTAAAATTAGTTTAATTTTTATGATTGTTGTTATAAACTGTTAACTTGATGTTATAAAAAATAATTAATTTCTATGTCGAGGTTGATCTAAACCGCTACACCATCTACGGTTCAAGTACCGGAAGTATTCTTTGTTATTATTGTTGCAGATGTAATTTGACAGTTCCCCCAAGAAGAAGCCCAGTGATTCACAATGTTAACAATCTGAAAGTGCAACAAACCAGGAAATTACTACCGCAACTTCCTTCTTAGACTGCCAATTACGCCTTTCTATTTAAAAAACATAAAAATGCCACCGTACAGGCCAACGCCGAATCGTAGCGGATACACTTACGTTAGTTCTTGTGTGAAATATTTGATTTTTATACTCAATTTTGTATTTTGGGTAAGGTTTATATCCTCTTCGTTGAATTGAGAGCGCAAAATTAATTTTTTTTTATTAATTATTCATAGCTGCTAGGTGGTCTACTTATTGGTATTGGGTTATATGCGTTTCTTGATAAAGTCCAATTAAATGGTTGGGTGCGTTTGGATACAGTTTACGATGTAATACTCAACGTTTCTTTGGTTATGATAATAACAGGAGGAGTTATTTTTATCGTCAGTTTTGCAGGATGTGTTGGGGCTTTAAGAGAAAACACATGTTTGCTCAAATTTGTAAGTTATTTTACATGTTTTTTTTTTTAAATTAAAATGTTTTATTTTAGTATTCATTATGTTTATTAATATTTTTCTTATTGGAAATGGGCATTGCAATTGTTGGATTTGTTTTTCCACAATCTATGCAATCCGTGTTAGAAGAAAACTTTACTGATAACATAATTCGAACGTATCGTGACGATCCTGACTTACAAAACTTTATCGATTTTGCGCAACAGGAATTTCGTTGTTGCGGTTTAAGCAACGAAGGTTACATGGATTGGTCTAAAAATGAATATTTTAATTGTAGTTCGCCAAGTGTTGAAAGATGTGGGGTTCCATTTTCGTGTTGTATAAATGCTACTGATATTTCATCTGGATTGGTTAATATTATGTGTGGATACAAAGTTCAAACACATCCTGTAAATGTTATATTTTAAATATTGTAAAAGTTTATTGGGATTAATTTTTTTTTCCGTTTTAGGTCGCTGAGGCGTCTAAAAAAGTATGGACATCCGGTTGTATTGAAACTTTTCGTTTGTGGGCGGAACGAAATCTTTATACAATTGCAGGAATAGCGTTAGGTATAGCTTTATCACAGTTGTTTGTGATTTATTTGGCAAAAACGTTGGAAAGCCAGATAGAAATGCAAAAGGCAAGGTGGGTCAGTTGAAGTTACGCTTCAAGGGGCGTTGGGTCCCACGTGTATGTGTAAATAATAAAGATCCCTTTAGCAATGTAAACTTCGTTTCGTCCTATGTCTGTTATCTTTGTAAAATGTAATATCTGACTGAAAAATACTTTTTGGACTGATGATGATCTTTGAGAAGATTTTATGTGTTGGACAATTTTTTTTATACGAACTTGAAAGGTGCTTGCTTTTGTTTTGTAATGTTTTTATGCAGGTTAAGGTTTGAAAATATTATCTTAATGGAAAGAAACGAAATGATTTATTTGTATAAATGTTTATTTTAGGTTCGTATAAAAAGAAGTCAATTATAGGAATATTTGACCTAATCATTAGATTTATTACGTTTTTTTTATAAGCAAATGACACATTTTCTATCTTTGAAAAGTGTAATATTACTCAATTTTTTATAATCACTAAATCTATTTAATAATATTTATAAGTTAAATGAGAAAAGAAATTTTTTAAGGAATTATAGGGCTTCTACACCTAGTCTAAATAAATTACAAAAATTTTAAATAACGTTACTAAAAAAGTTTTTTTAATTATTATTATTATTAGTGTAATATTTTTATAAGAAAAATTAGTGTATATCACCTTTGAAGTTTTCTCATTCTAAATTTAATTAATTTCCTTGGGTTTCCTGCTTATTATGCAAAATCAGTGCCAAATAACCTAACAGATTTACAATATTAATTGTTTATTATTTCATTTCTAACCATTTTAGCTCAAGGAATTCGAAACAGTCTGCGTATACGTATCACTCAATGTCTAATAAAAATGATGGTTTTTACTAGTAATAACACAAGTTTTTCTTATATTCCCTTTCAAATAATTACGTTCAAAGGAATCCTACATAAATTTTATCTAACCTCTTACATATTTTATTTTTATATAGTATAGTTTAGCTGAAAATTGCGATTTAGTAGGATTTCAACGCTATTTTAACCAGAACATATCAAATAATTGCGTATTACACAAATTATAAATTAAGAAAGAACGGAAATAAATCATTCGGAGTATTCTATATAGACTGTACGTCGCGTCTTTATTTTTTTTTGACATAATTAATCCAGACATTTGACACACCCTGTATGTTGTGTCAAATGTCTGGAATATAGCCAATAACTTCGCCATTTGTGATTTTAAAGAAAAATATTTTAAATAAAAGTTTCTCTATTAATTGTGACGCATTTTTTGGCGATATTTGATTGTTTACATTGTTTTTTGTTTCGTTGCTATGGCAACCAACATTGTTATTTTAAATGGGATGCATATGTTTTTTTTTGCATATTTTGATAGAAGACAAATTCCTCTACGCGATGGACATATCAAATCATATGATTGTATAAGAAAAAAATCGAGAAAAATGCGTAAAAAAAAATATTAAATCAGCTAAATGACAGTTTTGACAGTTGCTAAACTGTCATTTAGCTGATTTAATATTTTCAGAGAAAGCATTTTTCTCGATTTTTTTCTTATACAATCATATGATTTGATATGTTCATCGTATAGAGGGATTTATCCTGTATTAAAGTATGCAAAAAAAATATATGCATCCTGTAGCGCATCACGCACTTTTATTATTTTTATATAGAAACATCATGTTATATCACCATGGGTTGTTATATCAACATAATGTATTTTCCCATGGCGATTTTGTTATAGTCATAAAATAATAAATAAACGGATAGACACACATAAAACAGTCTATCAAATACTCCATTTTAATTTTTAGTATTTTATTATACGATTAATTAATATAGAGTTACAAATAAATATACTCTATACATCCCATTTAAAATAACAATATTGGTTGCCATAGCAACGAAACAAAAAACAATACAAACAAGCAAATATTGCCAAAAAATGCGCCACGACTAATAATGATACTTGCATTTGAAACATTTTTCTTAAAAACCATAAATGGCGAAGTTATTGGCTATATTCCAGACATTTGACACACCTGTATGTTGTGTCAAACGTCTGGAATATAGCCAATAACTTCGCCATTTGTGATTTTAAAGAAAAATGTTTTAAATAAAAGTTTCTCTATTAATTGTGACGCATTTTTTGGCGATATTTGATTGTTTACATTGTTTTTTGTTTCGTTGCTATGGCAACNTGTGTCAAATGTCTGGAATATAGCCAATAACTTCGCCATTTGTGATTTTAAAGAAAAATGTTTTAAATAAAAGTTTCTCTATTAATTGTGACGCATTTTTTGGCGATATTTGATTGTTTACATTGTTTTTTGTTTCGTTGCTATGGCAACCAACGTTGTTATTTTAAATGAGATGCATATGTTTTTTTTTGCATATTTTGATAGAAGACAAATTCTTCTACACGATGAACATATCAAATCATACGGTTGTATAAGAAAAGAATCGAGAAAAATGCGTTCTCTGAAAATATTAAATCAGCTAAATGACAGTTGATAGCTTTAAATGTCAAAAAATTGACAGTTTAAACAAATATGGCGCAATTAAGNGTTTTTTGTTTCGTTGCTATGGCAACTAACATTGTTATTTTAAATGGGATGCATATGTATGTTTTTTTGCATATTTTGATAGAAGACAAATTCCTCTACGCGATGGACATATCAAATCATACGGTTGTATAAGAAAAGAATCGAGAAAAAATGCGTTTTCTGAAAATATTAAATCAGCTAAATGACAGTTGATAGCTTTAAGTGTCAAAAAATTGACAGTTTAACCAAATATGGCGCAATTAAGCGAACGACAAAACATCCAAATATCAATGCTGTATGGGTACGGTGATAGAAAACGCACTCAAAGTGTAGTTTGTACACTGTTCAATAATATTTACCCGGATAGACAATCCACAGTATCCAAAATATTAAAATATTCCTTAACACCGGAAGTGTTAAACTCCTTCCAAAAAGTGGACGTCCGAAGGCAGCTACCAAAAACGAAACTACATTAAATGTGTGTCACCATACATTATTAATTATTCATAATTGTTGAAACTGTCATTTTTTGACATTTAAAGCTGTCAACGGCGTTATTTCTGTGCCTACTTTGTAAATTACTGATTTCATATTTTCAGAAAACGCATTTTTCTCGATTTTTTCTTATACAATCATATGATTTGATATGTTCATCGTATAGAGGGATTTATCCTGTATTAAAGTATGCAAAAAAGATATATGCATTCCATTTAAAATAACAATATTGGTTGCCATAGCAACGAAACAAAAAACAATACAAACAAGCAAATGTTGCCAAAAAATGCGCCACGATTAATAATGATACTTGTATTTGAAACATTTTTCTTAAAAACCATAAATGGCGAAGTTATTGGCTATATTCCAGACATTTGACACACCTGTATGTTGTGTCAAACGTCTGGAATATAGCCAATAACTTCGCCATTTGTGATTTTAAAGAAAAATGTTTTAAATAAAAGTTTCTCTATTAATTGTGACGCATTTTTTGGCGATATTTGATTGTTTACATTGTTTTTTGTTTCGTTGCTATGGCAACCAACATTGTTATTTTAAATGGGATGCATATGTTTTTTTTTTGCATATTTTGATAGAAGACAAATTCCTCTACGCGATGGACATATCAAATCATACGGTTGTATAAGAAAAGAATCGAGAAAAATGCGTTCTCTGAAAATATTAAATCAGCTAAATGACAGTTGATAGCTTTAAATGTCAAAAAATTGACAGTTTAAACAAATATGGCGCAATTAAGCGAACGACAAAACATCTAAATATCAATGCTGTATGGGTACGGTGATAGAAAACGTACTCAAAGTGGATTTTGTACACTGTTCAATAATATTTACCCGGATAGACAATCCACAGTATCCAAAATATTAAAATATTAGTTAACACCGGAAGTGTTAAACACCTTCCAAAAAGTGGACGTCCGAAGGCAGCTACCAAAAACGAAACTACATTAAATGTGTGTCACCATACATTATTAATTATTCATAATTGTTGAAACTGTCATTTTTTGACATTTAAAGCTGTCAACGGCGTTATTTCTGTGCCTACTTTGTAAATTACTGATTTAATATTTTCAGAAAACGCATTTTTCTCGATTTTTTTCTTATACAATCATATGATTTGATATGTTCATCGTATAGAGGGATTTATCCTGTATTAAAGTATGCAAAAAAGATATATGCATTCCATTTAAAATAACAATATTGGTTGCCATAGCAACGAAACAAAAAACAATACAAACAAGCAAATGTTGCCAAAAAATGCGCCACGATTAATAATGATACTTGTATTTGAAACATTTTTCTTAAAAACCATAAATGGCGAAGTTATTGGCTATATTCCAGATATTTGACACACCCTGTATATGATCGTGAATTCCAGAAGACCCGTGATACGCACATCAAGAAGCGAGCCATTCGGTTGCTACTCCTAATGCTTTTCGACCCATCAGCTTGACGTTATTTCTGTTGAAAACTCTTGAAAAAGTTCTGCAACGGTATACGGTGCCACTGGCATCTGGACCACTGAGTCGCCACCAGAACGCTTATGAAGCGGGAAAATCAGCAGAATTAGCTCAACACAACTTGGTTGGTAGAGTATCCAGGACGCTGTAGGATAACGAGATCTTGGTTNAATATTAAAATATTAGTTAACACCGGAAGTGTTAAACACCTTCCAAAAAGTGGACGTCCGAAGGCAGCTACCAAAAACGAAACTACATTAAATGTGTGTCACCATACATTATTAATTATTCATAATTGTTGAAACTGTCATTTTTTGACATTTAAAACTGTCAACGGCGTTATTTCGGTGCCTACTTTGTAAATTACTGATTTCATATTTTCAGAAAACGCATTTTTCTCGATTTTTTTCTTATACAACCATATGATTTGATATGTTCATCGTATAGGAGTATGCAAAAAAATATATGCATCCCATTTAAAATAACAATATTGGTTGCCATAGCAACGAAACAAAAAACAATACAAACAAGTAAATACCGACAACAAATGCGCCACGATTAATAATGATACTTGTATTTGAAACATATTTCTTAAAAACCATAAATGGCGAAGTTATTGGCTATATTCCAGACATTTGACACACCCTGTATATGATCGTGAATTCCAGAAGACCCGTGATACGCACATCAAGAAGCGAGCCATTCGGTTGCTACTCTTAATGCTTTTCGACCCATCAGCTTGACGTTATTTCTGTTGAAAAAGTTCTGCAACGGTATACGGTGCCACTGGCATCTGGTCCACTGAGTCGGCACCAGAACGCTTATGAAGCGGGAAAATCAGCAGAATTAGCTCAACACAACTTGGTTGGTAGAGTATCCAGGACGCTGTAGGATAACGAGATCTTGGTTTGTGCATTTCTGGATATAGAAGAGTAAAAGCAACTATAGTGGGTTGGATCCGCAATATGCTTGATAGTAGATTAGTTTCTAGTTCACTCAAAGGGCTTCTGGTTGATGATTTGATTACGATTGTCGAAACCGTTGATGTAGAAATACAACGCTGATGACATTATCATTATGGTCAAAGGATTCCGTTTGTCAAAGATGTCCAAAGTTCTCCAGGTGACCCTAGATACCATTTGCGCTTGGTGTAAGGGAGACTCTAGATCTAGATAAACCCGGAAAAGACAGTCGTTGTGCCCTTCACCAGGAGACGAAAGTTAGATCCACAAAACTATTCAAGGTGGAGAAATTCGTTTCTCAAAGGAAGTCAAATATCTAGGAGTAATCCTAGACAAACCCTCTCATGGAATGGACATTTGCAGGGAGTTTTACACAAAGCTAGACTATCCTTGTAGACT